GCGCCGCCCGGCCCCGCGCCAGCGCCACACCTCCCCTCGCTCGGGATCCAGCCGCACCTGAGCGCTCCCCTCGAGTCCCGCGTTAACCCCTCCATCCACACCGGACCCAGCGGCCCCTCCGCAGGTTCGGTTCCTCAATCAATCAACCAATCAATCAATGTGTGATACCCAAGAGACGGACCCCGCCAGAGCCCGGCTGCGGCGAGGCCGTGGGGGTGTGCTGTGGGTGGTGGAAACACGAGTGGAACGGCGCCTGCGCTTGATCCAGCGCCGCTTCGGAGCTGGCGAACCAAGGGACCCCTCACCGGAGACCTTGCAGGGTTCGCGGGCACCGGAGCGCGCGTCCTCCTGACCTCCACGCGCCCCCGCCCGGCGATGTGGGGGTGCTCCCCATCACCCCTCCCTCCCCCGATTGTCGTCGCGGGGACCCGTGACCCGTCAGCGGTGGGCAGCGCCCTCCAGGGGGCTGGGGCGCGCGGATGTCGTCCTCGGCTAGCAAAGCTGTTCGTTCAGTGCATCCAAGGTTAACTCGCAATTCTGTCCGGACTTTGCCCTCCTCCGAGGCCGGCGGACTCACCCGCGGCCGGAAAGACCGGGGTTGGGCTGTTTGAACTGGCCCTGCGGTTCTCAGCCCTGATCCTCTCCCTCGCACGGACGTCCCACCGAGGCCTCCGGCCCCCTGAGTCCCGCGGACCGGCTGTCCCGCCCCGGAGATCGCGCAGGCTCTCCCGCCCCCTGGTGGCCGCGCGTGGGAAAGGTGGGTCAATCAGAAATGATAGGCTTCTGTTTTTCTTTCCTTTTCCTTTTCTTTATTTCTTTCCAGTCGGTTGTGGGTTCTTTCTTTCCTTTCTTCCTTCCTTCCTTCCTTTTTCTTTAATTTTTTTCTTTCCTTCCTTTTTCTCTCCCTCTCTCTCTCCTTCCTTTCTTTTTCTTTAATTTCTTTTTTCTTTCCTTCCTTCCTTCCTTTCTCCCTCTCCTTCCTTCCTTCCTTCCTTCTTTCCTTCCTTTCTCTTTCTTTCTTTCTTTTTTTCTTGTCAGTCGTAGGGCTTGAACTCAGAACCTGAGCCCTGTCGCTGAAGCTTTTTTGCGCTCAAGGCTAGCACTCTACCACTTTAAGCCACAGCTCCACTTCCAGCGGTTGAGTGGTTCATTGGAGTTAAGAGTTTCACAGGGACTTTTCTGCCCCGGCTGGCTTGGCTGGCTTGGAACCGCGATTCTCAAATCTCAGCCTCCTGTGTAGCTAGGATTACAGGCGTGAACCTGCAATTACAGGCGCCTGAGTATTCTTTTTTTGATGTTAGTGGGAATAACTAGATAATTCAGCCTCCTGGGGGAAATACAGATATGAACAACTCTTCTCGCCTGAAATTTTTTTAAAAAAGAAAGAGGAAGTGGCGCTGTAGCTCAAGTGGTAGAGCGCTTGCCTTGAGTTGAAGAGCTGAGAGACAGCGCCCAGGCCCAGAGTTCAAGCCCCACGACCGACAAAAAAAAAAAAACTATATAAAAAAGAAAGAACGTACTAGTTAAGAGTAAAGAATCTTTGCCTTAGCAGCAATCAAGAAATGGTCCTTCATCCCTTCCCCCACCCCCGAATACACCCAGGGTTTCAGGTTAAAACATAATTGCTTCCAAAAGGGTGAACTTGTGGCTCTCGTACAACTATAAAATGGACACACATTAAATGTTTTATTTAGTTCATTAATGAGGAAACAAGAAAGGACTTATAAGTGTCCAGAGGAGAATGGAAAAAAATAGGTTATCATATTATGTAGGCAACAAGAATGCTGGAATGTATAAGTTAATCCTTACAAAACTGGCTTTGAGGGTCGAGGAAACAGGTATAATCAAAGTTCATTTGCATCTCTATGGACACAAATCATCCATCAATTTTCTATGGCTTATGGAGTTGTACTAAAGACTCATGACTATAATCCTAGCTACCATAGAAGCTGAGATCTGAAGACTGAGGTTCAAAGCAAGCCTAGGCAAGAATGTGAAACTCCTATCTCCAATTAGCCACCAAAAAAATCCTGAAAATGGAGCTAGGCTCAAGTGGTAAAGCAGTAGCCTTGAGAAATAAAAGAAAAAAGCTCAGGGTCAGCAAACGTGCCCTAGGACTGGCACACATGCACACACACACACACACACACACACACACACACACCTCTGAAGGCACACATTACTATAAAATCAGATGATCAGTTGACTAGACAGACACATTGGTTAATGGGTTAGGCTGCATCTGCTAGAATAACCAACAGTCTTTTCTCATTTTTTATCACTTTGACTTTTTCAGTTTTTTCCAGACCTTTGCAAGGTAGTATCTTCCATGGTTGAACAATACTGTATTTAAAAGTTCTTTGCTGAAAAATGAGAGAAGGGGTGGTTTAGGAGCCATGGGTGACAATGTTATCAGACACTTTGTACTCACATACTGTTTTGTAGAAGGGAAACTTCTTTGTACAACCACTTAAAGATAATTTTAAAAAATTTAAGTTCTTTGCTATACAGAACAAAGACTTTCCTCCCTATAGCATCCTCCATTATTTCCTGATCCTTACTTTTCTTTTTGTGATCGGTCGTGGGTCTTGAACTCTGGGCCTTGGCACTGTCCCTGAGCTCTTCAGCTCAAGGCTAGCGCTCTACCACTTGAGCCACTGCACCACTTCTGGTTTTCTGGTGGTTAATTGGAGATAAGAGTCTCACAAACTTTCCTGCTCAGGCTGACTTTGAATCGTGAAACTCAGATCTCAGCCTCCTGAGCAGCCAGGATTTCAGGAGTGAGCCACTGGCATCCAGCTTGATCCTTACTTTTATGGGAACATTTAAGAAATTTAATCTCTCCTATGATGGTTTTTCATGCAAGGAAAGTTGCTAGATGGTAATAGAAACATAGCCAGAAGGTCTGAGTTATAGATCTAAGTCTATCATGAGATGTTTGTCACCTAAAATCACAGAATTTACTTTCTTTTCTATCAAATAAGGAAAATGATCAAAACTAATAACTCCCAAAACTAATAATTGTTGATTTTTCAAAATCAAAAGTATCATATATTCAAAGGTAGACATTAGTGGCTCATTCCTATAATCCTAGCTACTCAGAAGACTAAGATCTAAGAGTTGTACTTCAAAGCCAGCCCAGGCAAAAAAAAGTCTGTGCTACTCTAACCTCTATTTAACTAGTAAAAACATGGAAGTATTCAAGTAGAGGTTGTACCCATTTTATCATGAATTAAATTAAGCTTAGAGAAATAAGGTGGGTTTTTTTTTTGCATGCTCACAAAGAAAACTATAATAACATTTGGGAGGGTTAGTGGTTACATGCCATAGAACCCAACTGTCTAGGTCAAATCTATCATTGCTCACTCATTCTGGAACTTTGATTTATTTCCTCTCCTGTGCTTCTGTTTCATCCTCTAGACACAGAGGTGTTCATAATACACAGCTCATGGGTTTTATGAAGGTAAATAAGTTCACATGTAGAAATCATCAATTGCCCCGTGCAGCCTCTTGAAAAGATGACTTCTAACTCCTCATGGCTACAATGCTTTCCCAACAAACATAGCAAACTGAGAAATGCCTGGAATATTTCAGTCACTTCTGAAATCTCAGGATTCAATGTCAATGGTAGCTTCCAACACATTTTTCAACAAAGGTTCAGCAGCAGATGTATATATACCATAACATATTAACTAAAGCATAGGAGAATTCCAATGGTGTCACTTCTTTGAACAACTAACAGTTTTATTTCGGTTTTGTTTTGGTCAGTCATGGGCTTGAACTCTGGGCCTTGGCACTGTCCCTCAGCTCTTCAGCTCAAGGTGAGCGCTCTACCACTTGAGCCACAGCACCACTTCCGGTTTTCTAGTAGTTTATTGGAGATGAGAGTCTCACAGCCTTTCCTGCCTGGGCTGGCTTTGACCTGCGATCCTCAGATCTCAGCTTCCTGAGTAGCTAGGATTACAGGTGTGAGCCACCGGCGCCTAGCTCAGTTTTGTTTTTTGTCTTTTGTGTTTTGTTTTGTTTTTTGTCAGTCATGTGGCTTGAACTCTGGGCCTGGGCACTGTCCCTCAGCTCTTCAGCTCAAGGCTAGCACTCTACCACTTGAACCACAGCACTACTTCCAGCTTTTTCTGCTTATGTGGTGCTAAGGAATCAAACCCAGGGCCTCATGCATGTGAGACAAGCACTCTACCACTGAGCCACCTTCCCAGCCCCTAACTTACAGCTTAACAAAATGAATATCAGAAAATTGGAACATGTGTCATGTAGGAGCGAGGTCAAGGGAAGGGGTCAGATCAGTAAATGGAAAAATGGAGGGCAGATTTCCCAAAGTTTAAATACTGGAACCATTGTTTTTCCCTGTTTTGGAGATTAACCAACCTGAGGCTGAGAAAGGGAATGTGACTGTTGGAAAGTAATCCAACCAGAAAGACTAACAAACAGTGCACAGCAAGGATGTGCCAGCCTTTGTCCCCTCATCTTGGAACAGTCAACGCAGTGCCTCTACCCAGCCATGTTGTGGAGCGAAATTCAGACTGCTTACTGCATTTAGAGCAGAAGGAGCCTCAGTATTGCTTTCTTCAAAGAATCCTTCAGGTCTCTGTTCCTCATGCTGTAGATCAAGGGGTTTAGCATTGGGGTGATGAATGTGTAAACCACAGACACGACTTGGCCCCTCTCAGGAGAGTAACTGGAGCTGGGACACAAGTAGATGAGGCTTGTGCATCCGTACTGAAGGAGGACCACAGTCAGGTGGGAGGAGCAGGTGGAGAAGGCCCTGTGCCTCCCCTCAGCTGAGCGGATCTTCAGGATAGCAGCCCCAATCAAGACATAGGAGAGGGTGATGAGAAGGAAGGGGATGGTGAGGACAATGACACTGACCACAAACAGAGTGGCCTCGTGGACATGGGTGTCGGCACAGGCCATTCTCATGACGGGGAGGACATCGCAGTAGAACAAGCTGATTTCTTTGCTGCTGCAGAAAGGGAGTTGGAAGATAAGCACAGTCAGCTGCATGGCCAAGACAAACCCCAGCAACAAGGACCCCAGGGCCAGCTGGACACACACGCGCCAGCTCATGATGAGCGTATAGTGCAAAGGGTGACAGATGGCCACAAACCGGTCATATGCCATGACCGCCAGCATGATACAGTCAGCACTGCCCAGAAAGATGAAAAAGAACATCTGGGTACCACATCCTGGCAGGGAGATGAGTGTCCTGTCTGTAGAGAGGACACTGGCCAGAGTCAGAGGGGCGATGGTTGATGAGTAGAAGATCTCCAGAGCTGCTAAGTTTGCCAGGAAGAAATACATGGGGGTGTGGAGACACGGATTGATCCAAATGGTAAGGAAAATGGAGCTGTTTCCACTGATGCTGATGAGGTACATGACGAGAAGGACCACAAAAATCAACATCTGCACCTCAGGGAGTTTGGAGAAGGGGCGGAAGTGGAAGAGGATCACCCCAGTTTGATTTGCTTCTTCCATGTCCAATGTATTGGGTCTGTTAAGGACACAGGCACTGCCCCTGAGGACAGATAAATATCAGGTTCACAGACTGCTAAGATGATCCACTCAACTCCTGGTTCCAGCCATCCAGAAATTCCATACCCAACATGCAGGGTGACTTTTATTCAGCTTTTGGTCTCTATGCCTTTGCCTCATCTCATCCCTCACATAAGTAGAATCAAATTCCTACCACGTCCTGCTTATTTTATCAAGCTTATTTTATTTTCGTGGTGTATCCATGTTGTATGATACGTCAAAAGTATTACCATTTGTGTATGTGCGCTGCATATCTCTTGTCCATCCATCCCTTCATAGACAATGAACTGTCTCCACTTCACTGGCTCTCATGGATAATGTTGCTGTGAATTGTCTCACATCTTCACATCAGCACGTGTGCATGCACACACACACACAAATATTAAACCATGCTATGTCCTCTTCAAGAGTTCAGTCTCTACAACTGGGCTGACTAGTTGCTAATTTGTTATTGAATTGACCCATATGGAAATCTTGTGGGCTCTTTCTTCTGCTTCCATTATGTCATCCATAAAGATAACAATAGGACGCAACTAAAGATTTTTGTCAAAATTAATTGAAACCTCCACCAATGTCACCCATAATCTTTGATACTACTCCCTTTCTACCTCTTGCTGTCTCCAGCTCCACAAAATGAGCTTCTTTGGGACTACACTCTGTCCATCCAAGACCTCGAATGCATCCCCCTTCCATTGAATTCCCAGCAAGGTTTGCCATTCATTACTCTCTAGCCTCTTGTCAATTCTGTTGACTTTCTGTAATACTCACCATCTCCATAGCCACCGGGACGAAGCTAAAATCACAAAATTCTCACTGGTGACACCTGGAACGTGCCATTATCATCTCCAACACCCTCCCCGATCCTGAACCTGCTCCCTTGTGATCTTCAAGACTGGTACAAACTTCTTTCATCCTTATGAACCTTCTCTCCTCTTTCCTTCTTCACTTCAGCCTCCAGCCTCTCCTCCACGCTGCTCCATGCGCCCGGCCTTTCCTACTTCTTCAACATGTTTTCTCTGTCTTGGAGATCTACTTCCATCTACTTCCCCTCAACAGCAACTTTACCTCCCCTGGTATAAAGCAGTTTCCATCCATGTCAGGTCATCCTCCAAACCCTCCCTGTCTCTCCCACAACAGCCATTTACTATTCTTTATCACAAGCAATCTGGTTTCCAACCCACTCCCTATGTTCCCTGAGGCCACCTTAATGAGAGTCACCAAAGATATCCAAATTCTTCAATCTAACAGGAAATGTTGACTTTATTCTGTTTTATACTTCATGGTGAAAAGCTTAAGCCATTTCCTCTAAATTCAGGAACAAGACAAGGATGTTGGCTCTCTCTGCTTCCCTTCAATTTAGTATTAGAATGCCTAGCTAGAGCAATAAAACAAGATGCAAACATAAAGGAGATCCAAATAGGGAACGATGAAGTAAAACTCTCCCTCTTGCAGATGATACGATCTTTTAATTAAAGAACCTCATGGACTCCATGCCCAAGTTACTGGTGCTGATCCAAAACTTTGGTAAAATAGCAGGGTATAAAATTAACCCTCAAAAATTTGTCGGTTTCAAAAAAATAAAAAATAAAAGAACCTCGCGGAAGGTAGGGAGGGAAGGGATGGTAGGGGGAAAACAATGGAGGGGGTAACAATGTTCAAGAGGAAGTGTACTCATTACCTCACTCATGTAACTGTAACCCTCTGTATAGTATCTTTACAATAAAAAAATTTGTTTCATTTGAAGCTGTAAGCTACTCACTTTTCCTTGAAATTCCTCTGCCCTGATCTAAATTATATTATTCTATCCTTCACCTCCATGAACTTTTCACATCTGGTACCTGAGGAATCTGATTCACAGAGGGAAGGTTTGGCTGGTTATTTTCAATGACCTCTAGATCCATGACCTACCTTGCTTTTCCCCCCATGAGAGGCTGGTCTCTAAGGACTACATCAGCTGAACTCCCTTTACTTTCTGGCTTCTGGGTCTTATGGGTTTGTTTGTTTGTTAGCTTCACTAGAGTTTGAACTCCTGGCTTCATACTTATTTAAAATGGGCTGTAACTATTTGAATCGTATTTCCAGACTTCTTTTGCTCTAGTTGTTTTTGAGACAGGACCTCACTTTTTGTGTAGGCTGACCTAGACTGCAATCCTATTAACACTTTCCACCATAGCTGGAGATGACAGGAAGATGCTACCATAGCTAATGGTTGAGATGGAGTCTTCTGAACTTTTTGCCTGGGCTGACCTCAAACCATGATCCTCTAAGTCTCTTTCTCCCAGTTAGCTAAGAATACAGACATGCTCCACCAGCATCCAGCTTCTGAATGGTTTGGCCAAACAAGATGGGGGAGAATAATGAACGGAAGGAATGACACTGGTGAAGAATAATGAAAGGAGTGACACTCTTGCTGATTTGAAGCCTCTTTGTACAGTTACTTAAAATAATTTTTTAAATGTAAAAGAGAGCCTACGAACACTGTGAAAGACTTTTTGAAAGAAGAGAGAAACAAGTAGGAGAATGAGGAGCAGAAATAAAAGTATTTATTTCCCTCACACGCACCACACCCACACCTGCTGTGACCACAGCTCTGGGTAGATGGTCCAGCTTCCATGGCTCTGGTGAAGCTAATGCTCACCTGTCACTCGGCACCCAAGGGTAGAAACAGCCCCCATCCATCACTGGCCCTGAGTGCCTCACCAGCCTTTATGGGTTCCCTGAACTCTGCCCTCCTCTCCATAAATATCACAACACTCACTGCCTCCCCACAGACAGTCATACACAGCAGATCATAAAAACTCATTGAAATACATGAAAGGGAACATTACTTTGCATGTCAACTTATTTTACAATTCATCATTCAGTTGTTCTTCCACTGTCTGTGGTCAGTAGAAATGTATTTCAGGGAAAGTCTGTGTGGTATCTAAAACAACAAAATACTACCATAGGAAGCCTAAAACAGGTGGCCCAGTTAAGAATACTCTAAGGGGTGACATTGATAAGTACACATTATACTTATAACACTGAGCTATGACCATAAAAATCTGTGCACTTAAACACAGGTGCTGTCCCAGATGGTGCTAATTGTAAGTCGTGGCTTCTATTGTTCATTTCCAGAACCAACTTGTTCTTGATCTTAGCTAAGCTTTTTTTTTTTTTTTTTGGTCCAGTCATGGGGCCTGAACTCTGGGCCTGGGCGCTGTCCCTCAGCTCTTCAGCTCAAGGCTAGCACTCTACCACTTGAGCCACAGCGCCACTTCCGGCTTTTTTCTTTTTGCTTATGTGCTGCTGAGGAATGGAACCCAGGGCCTCATGCATGCGAGGCAAGCGCTCTACCACTGAGCCACCTTCCCAGCCCAGAGTATGTTTTCTGACTGTCTCAACAAAGCATGTTCTCCTACGAAATGAAAGTAGACAACTTGTTTTCACTACTCTTGGGTAACCTAGAGAACAGATCACATTTCTAGGGAGACAGATCTATCCTCTTAGCCCCTGCAAGGATATCTGTGTAGAAGACTATTATTGTGGTGGACATCACTGGCATAAAATAGTGGTTAATTTGATGGTCCGAATCATTTATAATTCAGCACCAGGAAGTTGCTCACAGGGTCAGAATATCCCGAGGTGAAGAGCATTCATTGGTCTAGCCTTTGGCTCTGGCCCCATCATTCAGGTCTTCCATCCTTCCTTGCTTCTTCCTAGAGGGGCTGGCTGGCAAGCACATCCTTACTTGAGGCTGAGGGAAACCAAAATGTGATCCTCTTAATATTTTTGGAACCATGGAGCAGAATGGCTGCAAAGTCCCCTCTCTCAGAGGACAGCATATGTTTAGATTGTGTCAACACGTCCCTGCGGCCTCTTCACAAGGGAAGAAGATGGGACTTGGGGATTTGCAGATGTGAAACTCTGGGTTGTTTCTCACTCTCTCTGTTGATCTCATTTCTGGAGAATGCCTTGTCCAAGTCCCAGGAGACTAACTTGGCTTTCAGTTGGACCAACCCCAGTAGGTCTTCGTTGATGCACAAATAGGAATTGATTGGAGATGGGCTCGTCTAAACTGATGTAATTGCTACTAGACTTAGCTATGTTTTAATCATTTGCTTACATTTTTATTCTCTAAATTTAAAGTCATTTGGCAAACTAGATGGTCTCTGAATGATACATAAGGCATTATTTGACATCACTTTATTAATTTATTACACTTATACATGTGTGTTAGATGATTGATTTGGATAGTATTAATTTATGTCACAATTATATATCATATTATTTTATTAATTTCTAGTGTCTATTATAATTATTATTTATTGTATTGATTTATTTCTATGTAATTCATTGTAGGAATTTAATTTTTATTTTATTAATTTTAGTTATTGTATCCATTTCTTTGTTTTCAGCTTTTTTTTCTTTACTTTTCTTTCTCGCCCTTTTCTCTTCATTCTCTAATTTTTCCTACACTCCTATGGTTTTATATTTGCTTAACTTAATGTGTTTTGTACTTTATAGGTGCTAAGAAAATGCTCATTTCTGTGTGTGTATGTGGGGTGTGTGTGTGTGTGTGTGTGTGTGTGTGTGTGTGTGTGTGTGTGTGTGTGCAGCAGATTCTGGGGCTTGAACTCAGGGCCTGGGCACTCTCCCTGAGTTGTTTTGCTCAAGTCTAGCACTCTATCACTTGAGCCACAGCTCCAACTTCAGGTTTTTTTGGTGCTTAACTGAAAAGAAAAGTCTCAAGGACTTTCCTGCCTAAGTTTTTTTGTTGTTGTTTTTTGTTTGTTTGGTCATAGGGCTTGAACTCAGGGCCTGGGCACTGCCCCTGAGCTCTCCAGCTCAAGGCTAGCACTCTACCACTTGAGCCACAGCACCACTTCCAGTCTTCTGGTGATTAATTGGAGATAAGAGTCTGACAAACTTTCCTGCCCAGGCTGGCTTTGAATTGTGATCCT